AAAATATATATATATAATATAATATATAAAATATATATATATATAATATATATATTATATATATATTTTATATATTTTATAATATATATTATATATAAAATATAAGAATATATAAATATATATAATTTTAATATATATATAATATAAATATATATTATATATATTATAATTATATATATATAATATTGTGGAAAATTAAATTTACCTGGGTGTAACTCATAAGATACATACCAGTAAATGGTAACAAAGATAATTATTCTTTATCAAGGTTACAGAGACAAGTAGGAATTTTAGGACACCTAGGTCGCAAAAAATGTCCCCTTTCGATACCTACCATAATCTATCTCTCCACAAGTCACTCTGGACCTATATTAATTTCAAATGAAATATACATCACCAGGAATTCTGGTGAACATTAATATAAACATGTGGACTGTATATTAAATTTAATAAATGATTACATATACACATTTAGGTAACAGAAGGAGAATTTATAATACGACTCACCAATTTGTCTGGAGATTACTTGGTGGATCATGCACTACCCCCTGCCTAAATATGAAGAAAATACTGGCCAGAATCTCAACATAAATAGGCAACTTAGCTGGGGTTCTGAAGCTGTCCTGTCCATCTCCTTAATGCTTATGTCATGCAGAACTGCAAATCCAACAATTTCGGCTCCTATAAGTCCAATATAACCTCTAGAGCGACGAAAAATATGCACATTACACAAACGTGATTGTATCACATTCAAAAACAATGGCGTCTCCTTTTCCTCACGACGCTCACCCATCGCTGGCTCTTTATTTATTTACAAATTAATATTTATAACCTACAATATAGGCCATCAATTTACATATAAATAGTGTATTTCTGGAAAATATATACAATATTTTTCCACACACACACACACACACACAATATATATATATATATATATATATTTTATATATAATATATATATATATATAATATAAATATATATATATATATATATATATATATTATAATATATATATTTTATATATATATATATATTGTTGTGCCGAATAGGCAAACTTGCGATCTTGGCTTAAATAGCAACGCTCATATTGCCATATAGGACAAGTGAAAATTTGTGTATGCAATAATTTTTGCCAAAATCATTCTTAACCTAACGAAAAAAATATATTTCACTGTGTTTGTTTAGTATTAAATTATTGTAAACAAAACTAAAATATATTTAGTTGGGTCAGGGAAAATAAATTGCGCTTGTTTATAATAAGGTTAGGTAAGTTATCAATTTCCTTTCGGTGCAAAATTATAAATTTAAAAAAATCAACATTAATGAAAAAAAAATATTTTTTAAAGCGTATAAGAGAAAATTTTAGAAAGGACAAAATTTTTAAAATGAGTTTTTTGCAAATTTGCCAGTTTTACATATTCGGCCCCAATATATATATTATAAAAATATATATATATATATTATATAAAATAAAATATATATAATATATATATATATATATATATATATTTATAAAATATATATATATAAAATATATATATATATATAAATATATATATTTTTAAAATATATATATATATATATATATATATATATTTTATATATATTATTTTAATATATATATATATATATTATAATATTTTATTTTATATATATATATATATATATATTTTAATTTTATATAAATATTTTATTATATATATAAATATATATATTTTGGGGTGTGCCAAATACGAAAAAACCTGGTCAATTAGCAAGAATTTCTTTTTTAAAATTAACCCCTTAAAAAAAATTTTCTTTTATACGTTTAAAGATTTTTTTTTTTAATTAATTTTAAATTTTAAAAAAATTTTAAATTTCCCCCCCAAAACACTTTGAAAATTTAACCTAACCTTATTAAATCAAGAACAATTTATTTTAGCCAAAACCCAACTAAATATTTTTTAAAAAATTTTTTTTACAATAATTTAATACAAAAAACAAACACAGTGAAATATTTTTTTTTCTTTAAAGGTTTTCTGAATGTTTTTTGACAAAATTTTATTGCATACAAAAAATTTTTCCTTGCCCTATATGGCAAGATGAGGGGTTTTGCTATTTAAGCCAAAACGCAATTTCGCCTATTGGGCCACGACTATATAAATATTATATATATATTTTTATATAAAATATATATTAAATATATATATATAGATATATATATATAAAAATATATATATTTTAAAAAAATATATATATATATATATATTATATATTTATATATATTTAAATTATATTATATATATATTATATATTTTATAAAATTTTATATATAATTTTATATAAATATATGGGGCCTGGTGGCCTGGGGTTGGGTTTAACGCTCTCGTTTTCAAGGGTTTGAGGGTTGGGTTTCGATTCCCAGCCAGAGAAAAAAAACTTTGGAAACTTTTTTTTTCCCACCTGTTGTCTATTTTCCCCCATCATTTAAAATGGGTACCTTGGGTGTTAGTCGACTGGTGGGGGTCAAAATCCTGGGACACTGCCCAAAGGGGGCCCGGGGACGCCCGGGGCCGGGGGGGGTGTTGCCCCCGGAACTTCCCCAAAGAATATATATATAATATATATATATTATATAAATTATAAAATATAATATATATAATATTTTATATAGAAATTTAAGATCACAGAAAAACAGGGGGATTCAAAATATCCCAAAACCCACTCTGAAAAAATTTAGAAAAAATTCCCAAAGGGCGCTTTGGGTGACTACTCCACTTTACCCAAGGAACTAAAAAAAGTAAAGCCCCAAAGGGAAAGCAAATATAAGGGGTCTGGCCAAAAACCTCACTATCAGATCCAAAAACAACGGTGAGGTTTTGGGCCAGACCCCTTATTTTAGTTTCCTTTGGGGTTTGCTTTACTTTCATGTTCCTTGATAATGTGAGTGGGCCCACGAAAGCCCCTTGGAATTTCTCTATTCTTTCAGAGGGGGGTTTTTTTTTTGGGCCAAAATTTTAATATTTTTTAATATAAAAATTTTAAAAATATATATATATATATATATATTATATATATATTTTATAAATAATAAAATAATATATAAAAATATATATTTTTACTTTTTGCTGATGATACTGGGGCTTACGGAAAATTCTAAAGAAAAATTTGAAAAGGGTTAGGGGAAACCGAATTTTGGGAGTGTTTTGTATGGTAGAAAGTTGAAAGTAAACATAGAAAGTGAACATAATAAGGGGGATGGGGGGGACAAAATGATTTAGGGTAAAGAAAAAAATTGGGTACAAATTTGGGGGGGAGTATGGAAGAAGTGAAAGTTTTCGATATTTGGGAGCTACTGTCAGCGGATGGGAAAATTTTTTAAGGGGTAGGTTAATCTATAATTTTATTAAAGGAAAAAAAGGGGAGTGGTGCATTGGGAAATGTGGAGGGAAAAAAAAGCTATCTATGCAGGCAAAGGGGAAAGGGGAAAGTATGAAAGTATAGTAGTACCAAAAAACCTTTTTTATGGGTGTGAACTTGGGTTTAAATGCTGCAGCGAGGAGGCGGTTGGAGGCAGTGGGTGTCCTGTCTAAGGGCAATGTGTGGTGCAAATATTTGCAGAAATTTCCCGGAAGGGGTGGAAATTAGGAGAAGGGTGGAGGTTAATGAAAAATATTATTTAAGAGTTGAAGAGGGTTTTTTTGAGGGGGTTTGTCAATTTTGGAGAATGAGCAAAGTAGAAACTTGGAGAGGGGAAAAAATCTGTAGGGGAAAGAAAGGCAGGGGAAGGGGGGCGCCCTCGAAAAGGTTTGAAAAAGGGAAGGGTAAAGAAGGTGTTGTGGGGGGAGGGGTTTGGACTTTCCCGCAAGGTGCGGGGAGCGTGTTCTTTGGAGTGAATGGGGCAAATGGTATTTGGGAAACCCGACGAGCTGTTGGAAGGGGTGACAGGGGAATAAATTTTGTGAAGGATTTAAAGGGAAAACCCCCTTTTTTTATATAACCGGACTTGAGACCTGTTTAAAAGGGGAAGTACAATCCCCCCAAATCTAAAGGGGAGGTTTGGGATTTTGGCAGTTTGGAGGGAATAAATTTTGTATTTTTTACGTATATTAAAAAACCCAAGTTGGGTTTTATTTGGGGACTTCGAAAAAAAAGTGATTTTGTGTGACTGAAGTGAAAGTGTTTAATGATGATGAAAGTATTTTCTTTTTGGGGATTTTCTTTCTTTTTGGGTCACCCTGCCTCGGTGGGAGACGGCCGACTTGTTGAAAAATATATATATATATATATATATATATATATATATATATATATATATTTCATGCTTAAAAATTCGCGAACAGGTGAAATTATTTGCAAACATTATCTCTCAGTCCACAGCTTAGCTTCAGCTAAGTGCCCACACCTATCTGGGTTCTGGCCGAGTTGAGATGGTACTACGTACTTTGATGCTGAGTGTGCAGTGTAGAAGCCTGCTGTAAGCTTGATAAAGCCTACTTGATCAGACTTGATAAAGCCTGCCTAATCAGACTTGATAAAACCTGCTTGATAATCACACTTGATAAAGTCTGCTTGATCATGCTTACTAAAGCCTGGATGATTAAGTTTGATAAAGCCTGTTTTAACATAATTGAAAACCCCCGATTTATTAGACATGATGCGCTGTATAGCCCTTGTGGTTTAGCGTTTCTTCTTCTTTTTGATTATAATAATAATAATTAGACATTATAACGCCTCCTTTATCAGACTTGATAAAGCCTGCTTTAACATATTTGACAAAGCCTGTTGTGCAAGCGAATCGCAATCTTAATAAAGTTTCCAGCTGCTGCTTTTGGGGCAGTAGGTGTTAGAAGTATCCACAGGCCCTGCCCAGGACTGAACCCGGGTCCTTCGGCTGTGAGCGGAACAAGCTACTGCACTTTCACAAACAATCATAAGAATCTGAAGTTAAACATAGTGGAAAACAAGTAAGGCTCGTAACCCTTACCGAGGCAGCGATAGATTAGGTTTACCAGCGTCCATAGCAACCTGCCTGGCAACCATGTTTTGACTGACCAGGCGGGATAAGGTATTTAATGTGTGTGTGTGCGGCGTTGTGGTCATTATTAACTGAAAACTTTACGTACCACGAAAGGGATTTTTATATATTTTTTTAAGGTAAGCTTACTCTGAACATGGTGTTAATGTGACCTGTAACCCACAGAATATAGCTGCCCATGGGAAAGTCACATATCAAAGCTATCTACTTCTGTCTAAATTAAGGACTATCCTAGTTTATCTAGGCGTATGAGCTAGGATAGAAAAAATAGAAGGCTCTCTCATCTCCCCTTCCAGCCACTACTGGCATTAAAACGGGGATGGGGGGGGGGTGAAATATACCATATATTAGAAAAGTGGCATGGAATTTATAGGAGTGATGAAAGTGGATGTAAGATATGGGTTCATCCGATGTCTAGTGAATATTTTCTAGTTGCATCCTGACTCTTCTGCTTGCAGGAAGCTTCTCATATTCTCCTGTCAAAATTCTTCTGTTAATTCCATCTGTTGGTGCTCCTCCATCTTTCTTCAGCCTTCTCAGCTGTTTTACAATCATCTTCCATTTATATGACTGCTGATTTACTTTTTCTCATTTTTAGCCTTTGATACTTTATTATTTTCGAATTGTCGTTAAGTTAATTGCTTCGTATCCTCACACAAATGTTCCTACTTCTCATACTCATTCTATTTTTTTTTTTTGTATTTTCCGTGTTGTGTAAACATGTCTTTGACACCTTATGCAGATCCACTTCCATTATTTAAAACTTAGTGATGTATAAATCACTGGTATGCAGTGGTTTATCCATGGCATTTTTTCCAATTTCAAAATCAATTAGAGGATAACAAGGTCAAGTCTTTATTTTTTTTTCGACAAGCTTGTTGATAAACGTTGCCATTGCTACCTCCATTAGGTTTGCTTAGGATTTTAATGATTCGCCAAGGGGGCCCTATCCTTCTCGTCAATTTCCCTATGCTTAAAAAATATATACAAATCAAGAATTTAGGGTTTGCTGCTGTCTTTGCGGCTGTTTCCAGTATGTGTATTACTGACCTGTTGCTCTTACCATGCTCCACTTTTGGTCTCCTGTTGTTGAATGTATATAATACTCTGGCCTATATTACCGATGGCCCTCCGACCATCACAGTACCTGCTGTATAGTCTCCAGTTTCAATATTTATTTTTGTACAAATCGCCAGTTTTTTTTCATTGTCACACAATTTGGACTGCTATTATTGCTGTATATTCTCCTCAGTAATGACAATGAAGTCTGGGTTTCCCCTCCTAATCTTTGTTTTAACTCTTAATTAACTCTTGTTGATGATTCTGCATATTATCCCCCTCAAGGAAGGTTCCTTGATGTTGGTGAGGGGCTCTTGATTTAGGGAATTAGATCTGTGCTCCAGTTCCCCGAATTAAGCCTGAATGCCTTCCACATCCCCCCCCCCCAGGCGCTGTATAATCCTCCGGGTTTAGCGCTTCCCCCTTGATTATAATAATAATAATAATTGCATATTATCAAGTGCTGATATATTTTGGGATGTTGATCTCTGTGAGACAGCTAGAAAATTATTTTTCAGATTGGCTTTAAACTTTCTAAGCTGGTATTTCTTAGTGGAAGATCTGAATAAGTTTTTGGCTGTTTTTGTCCTAATTTGGCATCTTTATAGCAGAAATTGGGATAATGGTTTCCATGTGATAGCTTGAGAATACCTCTTCAGGTTTACATCAGATCTTCATCGCTAATATTTAATTGTATTGGGGACTTAGGCCACACTCCACACTATTCCTAAAGCTTACATTAAGGTAGAGGGAGCCGGGGTTATGCAACACGGGGAGACATCTCTCAGATTGAGCAGCGACCGAAATATATCTAGCCTGTCCCAGACGTTTCGATCGCGAGAGTTAGAGAGAGAGACTTACAGTGTTATGACACCAGTATTCAGTTCACACTTCACAATGGGAGAAACGACTAGCATTTTTTTCTTTACATTCTTCTCATTCTTTCAAGAAGTCATCATTTTTTTAACCGCGGCACCACAAGAAAGCGGGAGAATCTGCATCTCCTAGTTATTTGTAGATGAGTTTAAAATCATCATGGATTCCCTTAACAGCTTAAAATTTCCCTGACTTTTCACGATCAGTGTAAGAAGAGAACAGTTTGTATCGGTGTTCGTCACGGTTGTTTCATTAACAAGTTGTTTGTAATTTAGTTCTAGGATCTGCTTATATATTTTACTGATCCATTACAATTGCAGTGTAATGCGATCCTCTGTTGACAACATTCTCCCACACATTGGTCTTCATCAGGTCACAAACAAATCTGATTTTCTGTCTCCTTTCTATCGTGTCGAAATTTAATATCATTTGTCTCCATTTTTTTAATGAAGATATTGAAGTCACCACTTCCCTTTCCTCAGCAGGAAATTTCTGAGGTATATTTCCCACAGCCACCTGACGTGAGAGGGGTAATAGGCTGCCCACCCAACTTCCAACAGTGCTTTGTGATCGGTGGGATCTCTCCTCGAACTTATGTTGTCGCTCCTCTCACATGATTTATTGAACTTTAGCTTTGTTAGTTTTGACTTTTGACAAATTCTGCAGCCTAGTAACGTTTCGCATCTCTTTGGTATATAGTTCATTTATTTAATCAGCATCCCTTTTAGCATCTAAACAGTTATTCTTTTCAGGTTCATGGTTGGAACTGTCTTGAATTAGCAATGCTTTTATCTCTAAAGAACAAGTCTGGAACAATTCACAAAATAAAAGTTATCCACTTTATTTCAGGACATGCACACATTATTCTGGTATCAAAGTGTGATCAGTAGGTTCCTTGGGGGTGGACTGAGGTAAGGATCAGGGAAGATAGGTGCCCATGGCCCGGGAGACTGTCTCCTTCAGTCAGTCAGGCCCCACGCCCGTCTGTGTAGACGAGAGTGCGCTGTCAACCCGCACGGGCTGCTACGTCATCACTCTCACCTTCTCTCAGCCTACACAGGTCAGTACTTACCCTCTCAGCCTACATAGCTCAGTACTTACCTTCTTTTAGCCTACACAGTTGCATTAATTACCTTCTCTCAGCCTACACAGATTAGTATTTACCCTCTCTTAGCCTACACAAGTTAGTGCTCACTTTCCCTAGCTACATAGATGATTACGTACCTTTCCTCAGCCTGCACAGGTCTGTACTTTCCTTCTATCAGCCTACACAGGTCGATACTTTCCTTCTCAACCTACACAGGTCGGTACTTTCTTTCCCTCAACCTACGCAGGTCGGTACTTTCCTTCCCTAAGCCTATTTATATTATGGAAAGTGTTAAGTCTCAAATATTATTCAGTGTTCCTTTGCCTCAGTGCTTAATTCTAAGCATCTAGTTCTTTCTTCTAAGTAACTAGATCTTGTAAACAGCTTGTAAACTTGCTTTTAATCACCTAGTCCTTGTTTCTAGGAATCCTCTACCATTGCAATATTTTCGTTAAACTGTAACTTATTAATTTTCTCAATAACGTAAAAATTTATGATACCAATGTTTAAAAAACTATCATTTACTTCATAAATGGTTTTCCAACAGGATTCGTATTCTGGACGACTTAACAAGTGTTAGGGAGATATTAAAAAAAAAATGAAAATATTTATTTTACATGACATTCTTGTACTGGGCCACTATGGTACCGCAGATGACAGTGACGAGAAGACACACGTTGTGCAAGAAGCGTTCACTGCGACAACATTTCGCTTTGAGTAGAACTTTATGACTTGATAAAGCTCTACAGTGAAACTTTGCCCTACACGTTGTCTTTTCTTCTCATTACTGTTGGTCATTAAAAAGTGATAGCAGTTAACTTGATCCTATTGCATGGGATTGAAGAGTTACATCAATCCTATAGGTTGTCTTCTCATTGAATCATGTCATCTGTACGGGTTTGTGAGATCTATTGTCTATCTTTTGTTATGCCTGAATGAACCAGACGTGGGTTATCTCGACTTCTGAAATTCCCATCAGCCCCAACAACCACACCATTAACCGCCTCTCCCACTTGCTAGCTGGGCGAAATCACCTTCAGGAACTACTACACATGGGCCGTGGGCATTCATGTGTTGAGGGCGGCCTCCACCTCCTCAGCCAACATGGGCGGTGTGGTGGGCGCCGGGTTGTTGGGCGGCGACGCGAGCGGAGAGACGGCGTGGGCGTGGAAGGACCCGGGGGCGTGGCAAGTGGGCGTGAAGAATAAAGTGATCATGCCCCACCCACACACAGAGACAGCCAGCCATGATTTCGTGTCTGTCACCTGTCTCGAGGTAAGGTTCCAGGTGACCTCAACCTAAGGTTCCAGGTGGCCTCGAGGTAAGATTCCAGGTGGCCTCGAGGTAAGGTTCCAGGTGGCCTCGAGGTAAGGTTCCAGGTGGCCTCGAGGTAAGGTTCCAGGTGGCCTCGAGGTAAGGTTCCAGGTGGCCTCGAGGTAAGGTTCCAGGTGGCCTCGAGGTAAGATTCCAGGTGGCCTCGAGGTAAGGTTCCAGTGGCCTCGAGGTAAGGTTCCAGGTGGCCTCGAGGTAAGGTTCCAGGTGGCCTCGAGGTAAGGTTCCAGGTGGCCTCGAGGTAAGGTTCCAGGTGGCCTCGAGGTAAGGTTCCAGGTGGCCTCGAGGTAAGGTTCCAGGTGGCCTCGAGGTAAGGTTCCAGGTGGCCTCGAGGTAAGGTTCCAGGTGGCCTCGAGGTAACGTTCCAGGTGGCCTCGAGGTAAGGTTCCAGGTGGCCTCGAGGTAAGGTTCCAGGTGGCCTCGAGGTAAGGTTCCAGGTGGCCTCGAGGTAAGGTTCCAGGTGGCCTCGAGGTAAGGTTCCAGGTGGCCTCGAGGTAACGTTCCAGTGGCCTCGAGGTAAGGTTCCGGTGGCCTCGAGGTAAGGTTCCAGGTGGCCTCGAGGTAAGGTTCCAGGTGGCCTCGAGGTAAGGTTCCAGGTGGCCTCGAGGTAAGGTTCCAGGTGGCCTCGAGGTAAGGTTCCAGGTGGCCTCGAGGTAACGTTCCAGGTGGCCTCGAGGTAAGGTTCCAGGTGGCCTCGAGGTAAGGTTCCAGGTGGCCTCGAGGTAACGTTCCAGGTGGCCTCGAGGTAAGGTTCCAGGTGGCCTCGAGGTAAGGTTCCAGGTGGCCTCGAGGTAAGGTTCCAGGTGGCCTCGAGGTAAGGTTCCAGGTGGCCTCGAGGTAACGTTCCAGGTGGCCTCGAGGTAAGGTTCCAGGTGGCCTCGAGGTAAGGTTCCAGGTGGCCTCGAGGTAACGTTCCAGGTGGCCTCGATGCAAGATTCCAGGTGATTATGATGATACAATTTATCCCAATTTCACTATGTCAGTTTTCTTACTAGGTTCCAAGGAGTCAATTTTCTGTAACTCTACAAACACAACATTCTTTTTTATAAGTTAGATTAAGTAAGGTTAAGTTGGTCTCTATTGAGTTAAGTTACAACGATCTATAAAAAAAAACTAGCGAAAATAGTGATAAATTTGTGAACGATTCAGACAAGGGGTCAACTGGAGCCCATAACAAGCCAATCATTAAACCAGTAATACAGAACAACAGTAACAGAACCGTGATTCGAAGCATTCACAACTATCCTACAAATTGGGGAAGAAAGATGATGTTTCGGTCGGTGCACCCTTCATGACCTTAGCGTAGTCGATAAGCTTTAAACCCCATACCCCCATTTACTAAGCAACCAACTAACCCTGAACAGAGTCGCGTGGACTGGCAGGACGTGATAGGACTGAGGCTGGTGCTGCGTCAGCCCTCACCCGTCTGGAGGACTTTCTTTATTGAGGAGATCACTGCCTACCGTGAACTACCTCGTCTGCCCCCCTTCAGTGTCCCTATCATCTCACATGACGGCCAGGTAAGGGTGCACAAGGCTAGCCAGGCGAGAGGTACAATGACGGCCAGGTGAGAGGTACAATGATGGCCAGGTGAAGGGGTAACAAGGATGGCCAGGTGAGGTGTACAAGGATGGCCGGGCGAGGGAATACAAGGATGGCCAGGTGAGGGGTACTAGGATTTTCAGGTAAGGGGTATAAGAATCGCCAGGTGAGAGGTACAAGGATGGCCAGGAGAGAGGTACAATGATGGCCAAGTGAGGGGTACAAGCATGGCCAGGTGAGGGGTGCAAGTATGGCCAGGTGAGGGGTACAAAGATGGAGTGAGATAGAATTATGTCTTGTGTGTTGGGTGTGTGAGGTGGACAAAGTTCTCTCTTTATTAAAACCTTGTAATATCATATAGATCAGAGCAGCCGCAAAAATGCACTTCAGTTTTTGATAATAAAAAATCCGAGCTAAAAAAAAAAAATCAGCCATGGCTGAACTCTCATAGACGCTCAACAGTTTATTTTCCAGATGGTGTATATGATGCCCAGTAGAATCCAGCAGCAGTAAATAATTATATATTAGGTAGTTTTAAAAATAGGTTAGACAAGTACATGAGTGAGTTGAGCAGATTCCATCGACTCCTGACTTAGGGACTGATTACCTCAAACTTCTGATCTTCACCACTCTTCTTTGTATAGGACTGATGAATCTACTGTGTGGCGAAACGTTTCCTCATTAAAGATACCCAAGTGTTACATATGTGCCTAATTTGTCAATAAGTTTGTTTTCACCCAGGACGAGAAGAGTCAACAAGCGACGCCACTAGAGCGCCTCATCCAGCAGACTCGGCGAGCCATGCGCAGCCCCCAAGATGAATCTTTAGAGGTTAATGAATCTTAAAAGTTTTATTCCTTATTGTTATTTATTTTCTGATATTTCAGGCTGCGTAATCTATTCGCTCTAGCTCTAATTTTCTCATATTGGGAAATGGTGGAATTGAAAGCTCGTTATTGTGCTAGCAGACGCTCCTCGTCCTCCACTAGGCACAGGAAATTTTGGTTTCATTATTATTATAATCTGTAAAGTAAAAGGACACAACTGCAACTAATGTGACATTTATTGTGGCAACGTTTCGCTCTCCAGGAGCTTTATCAAGCTATTACAAACAATACATGGACACAGAGGGTATATAAAGGCTCTGAGTGAGGTGCAATACTAGTGAGGTAACATTTCGATGTTCACTAGTGGTGGTAGTAGTAGTAGTAACTACTACTACTACTACTACCACCACTAGTGAACATCGAAATGTTACCTCACTAGTATTGCACCTCACTCAGAGCCTTTATATACCCTCTGTGTCCATGTACTGTTTGTAATGGCTTGATAAAGCTCCTGGAGAGCGAAACGTTGCCACAATAAATGTCACATTAGTTGCACTTGTGTCCTTTTACTTTACATATTGTCGGTAATTCTACCAACTTTATTATTATAATCAAAAAGAAGCGCTAAGCCACAAGGGCTATACAGCATTTTTTATTTCAGAAAGGAAATAACTGAATTAAAACTAATAATCGGTATAAACGTAAAGACGTGCATCCACAACAATACACTTAAAATCCTATGAAACATTGCAAAATTTTAAAAGCTAAATGGCTGCTTGAGTGAACCTTTTATAAAAAAAAATGCTTAAAGTTTTTCGGATTGATGTCCAAAGTCTTATTGGTTATGCAAACATTTATTTAGTATTATTAAGTTTATAAGGAAGAAACAAAACTCAAAATTTAAGCAAAAAAAAAAAATTATTACAAAACGATTTTCTTGGAAATGGTTCACAGGAATCACCTTTGCAAAGGCGCTTTCTGTGATCGCAACATTTCAAGCTCCTGATGTGTTGATTGGAACACATTCTACTCCCCCCGTAGTTGTTTTGCATCTTGTGTGTAATAAACACTTGTCAACGCTCGATAATAACCCACCTGGAGACAGAAACTCAGGACATAAATTGATCTGTATATTTCGACTCCCTTCTGGGATCCTCTTCAGCATTACTTTGCCTCCACATATTTTTTGATGCAGTAGTAGGTTATGAAAAAAATATAAGGGTAAACGAATGTCACTGTTAAATCCTAATAAATATTTATTTTTACTGATTCGTGCAAGAAATAAAACAGGAAGTAGTAATGTGAAACATTATTTATTCACGTTTGTTTTTGTTAAGAACGTTATCAAAGCTTATTCCTTGGGTAGCATTGAAAATGGGTTGGGCAGATATTTTTGTTAGTGGGTCTGGATTTGAGAAAGACCTGCCTAGTATGGACCAATAGACTTGCTGCAATGTTCCTCCTTTCTTATGTTCTTAATTCCGTCGCCAGGGAGAACTGTCAGGCGGAGGATATGAACTGGTCACCCTGCAGTACACATGTTAGCCACACAGTATGTATCAACACACGCCAATTGTAACCTCACGCACGAGCAACTTGAAGCAAAGTGGAAAAAAAGTATCCGCTGAGTAAACTCAGGCAAAAGCGGCAGGGGAATTTGAAAGAAGTGAAGGTGACAGCATGTGATTGAAAGGAAGGTTGACGACTGACTTGGATCTTGAGGTCCTCGAGGAGTCAAGAGAGTTGTGACAAGTGAATTCTTAGTGCAGTTCGCAACACCAATGTGTACCACGAATATCTGTAACTGATGTGGGTCGCTCTTAACAGTACGTTACAACTAATAAATATCCTTATATGATGAAATGAATCAGTGTTAGTGTTAAATAAATGTATCAGTGTTAAATAAATGTATCAGTGTTAAATAAATGTATCAGTGTTAAATAAATGTACCAGTGTTAAATTGTTGCATTATTTGGCTGTTTTGCAAAGGTAACCTAACCATCTTAGTAGCATTTCTGATGTGGATTATTTTGTTTCCTTTCCTATAACATGAGAGCACATATTTTTATTATCACACTGGCCGATTCCCACCAAGGCAGGGTGGCCCGAAAAAGAAAAACTTTCACCATCATTCATTCCATCACTGTCTTGCCAGAAGGGTGCTTTACACTACAGTTATAAAACTACAACATTAACACCCCTCCTTCAGAGTGCAGACACTGTACTTCCCATCTCCAGGACTCAAGTCCGACCTGCCGGTTTCCCTGAACCCCTTCATAAATGTTACTTTGCTCACACTCCAACAGCACGTCAAGTATTAAAAACCATTTGTCTCCATTCACTTCTATCAAACATGCTCACGCATGCCTGCTGGAAGTCCAAGCCCCTCGCACACAAAACCTTCTTTACCCCCTCCCTCCAACCTTTCCTAGGCCGACCCCTACCCCACCTTCCTTCCACTACAGACTGATACACTCTTGAAGTCACTCTGTTTCGCTCCATTCTCTCTACATGTCCGAACCACCTCAACAACCCTTCCAATATATATTCATTTCTCTCTCTCTCTCTCTCTCTCTCTCTCTCTCTTCTCTCTCTCTCTCTCTCTCTCTCTCTCTCTCTCTCTCTCTCTCTCTCTCTCTCTCTCTCTCTCTCGTGTTGCTAATATGCTGGCAAAGAGTTGTTTTCATAGCACCTCCATTACCTTGGTCCTCTACATGCTCGAGAGGATTCCAACTCTTGCAGTTTTCAGTATTTCTTTACGGTTGAAATCTCCTGTAATTAGTACCTCTACTTTTGTTACGTGGACTCATAAACTTACGCTATGATTTTAATCACTGCACTTTTGCTGTCTTCGTATTATTGTTCTTCACCTCCTGGTGTTTAGTTTTGGTTGAAAATCATTGCTGCTACTATTTTGGATCACTGAAGTCTTAAATAGTGCCTATCATGCAATAGTTTGACACTTCCCTCTGTCTCTCTCATTTTTTCTAAACTCCACTTGCTTAATTAACAGCAGTGCTCCTCCGCATTTCCTAAATTTGTTTGCAATAGATAGGTGAACCGTAGATATAAATCCAGATGTACACCTGCCAACCCTTTTGGGACCTAGTTCCTAGGACCTGTGTGTACCCATATGCTCTTGTGCTACCCTCCACAGGATGGTAACGCAAGAGCAAAATATAATTGCAATATTGAATTTCACTTCCATGAGAACTAATGTCTAGTGTCGTCTGCTATATGTTTTTTTTTCCTGTTTGTTTGATATTCCGTTTGTATTCATGACCTGATTAATACTATGTTTGGATTTGTACTATCTTGTCTTCCTGTTCGTTGCTCATGTGTTGAGGTAAGAGCTTGATGTTATGTATACTGAAGGGGTGAGCCTATTTTTTGATTACTTACTACAGCAGCAGAGTTATACTCGTAGGGTCTTGTCTTCAATACTTTCTTCATCATATAATGTTTTTGTTAAACTTCCAATTGTTTCACCACTTACTAATTCCTCCTTTAATGCATTCCACTGGTCAACTATTCTATTTGAGACGAAAATCTTTCTATTATCCTTTCAACTCTACTTTTTACTCAATTAGCAACCGTGGTCTCTTGTTATCCCTGTTGCAGCTACTAAGAAATTTTTATCTACTCGTTTAAGGTCTTTCAAGACCATATATGTGGTTATCATGTCTCCTTTCCTATCAACCAACATGGGCATCTTCAATGTTTTCAACTTTTCGTCATAGTTCAAATTGTTCAACTCTCTCAGCCATTTTGTAGCTCTTCTCTGGACATTTTCTAACTTATCTATGTAGTTTTAGTTAAAAATAATTTAATTAACATTTCACCACGAATATCTGTTGTATAGTATGCCAGTGCAGCAGATGTACTCACCTAGTTGTGGTTGCAGGGGTCGATTCATAGCTCCTGGCCCCGGCTCTTCACTGGTCGCTACTGGGTCACTCTCCCTGAACCATGAGCTTTATCATACCCCTGCTTAAAGCTATGTATGGATCCTGCCTCCACTATATCACTTCCCAAACTATTCCACTTCCTGACTACTCTGTGATTGAAGAAATACTTCCTAACATCCCTGTGATTCATCTCTGTCTTCAACTTCAAACTGTGTCCCCTTGTTGCTGTGTCCCATCTCTGGAACATTCTGTCTCTGTCCACCTTGCCAATTCCTCTCAGTAATTTGTATGTCGTTATCATGTCCCCCCATTTCTCCTGTCCTCCAGTGTCGTCAGGTCAATTTCCTTTAACATCTCCTCGTAGGACATACCCCTTAGCTCTGGGACTAGTCTTGTTGCAAACCTTTGCACTTCTCTAGTTTCTTTGCGTGCTTGGCTAGGTGTGGGTTCCAAACTGGTGCCGCATACTTCAATATGGCCCTAACGTACACAGTGTACAGGATCCTGAACGATTCCTTATTAAGATGTCGAAATGCTGTTCTTAGGTTTGCTAGGCGCCCATATGCTGCAGCAGTTATTTGGTTGATGTGCGCCTCAGGAGATGTGCCTGGTGTTATACTCACCCCAAGATCTTTTCCCTTGAGTGAAGTTTGTAGTCTCTAACCTCCTAGACTGTACTTCGTCAGCGGTCTTCTTTGCCCTTCCCCAATCTTCATGTCTTTGCACTTGGTGGGGTTGAACTCCAGGAGCCAATTGCTGGACCAGGTCTGCAGCCTGTCTAGATCCCTTTGTAGTTCTGCCTGGTCTTCGTCCGAATGAATTCTTTTCATCAGCTTCACATCATCTGCAAACAGGGACACTTCGGAGTCTATTCCTTCCGTCATGTCGTTCACAAATACCAGAAACAGCACTGGTCCTAGGACTGACCCCTGTGGGAACTCACTGGTCACAGGTGCCAACTCTGACACCTCGCCACGTACCAAGACTCGCTGCTGTCTTCCTGACAAGTATTCCCTGATCCATTGATGTGTGTGTGTGTGGGGGGGGAGTGTACAGGTGAGAGTGAAGTTTAACATCTTTATTACGCACCACATCCCCATCCTGTGGGCAGTATTTACCCCATACCCATCCTGTGGGCGGTAGTCAAAGGATTACTGAAGTACATAATCGGTCCAAGGATTGGGCCGCAAAGTTTTGATATCTGGTGATGATAGCTAGTAATGAACTATTTACATGTTTATATCTAGTCACAGTCGAGAAGCGGGCCTAATAACCGTCGTTTAGTCGATAAACTTGTAACTTTACAAAGCACGCAGTGTAAAGCTGGTGGAAGAGTGCCTGTTGATGCCTGGCTGGCTCAGTCTGGTGCCAGACGCGCTGGTGGTTGCAGGTAGCAGCCGCTCGCTCGTTTCTTACCTGTCCAGGTAAGTCACCCTTGGCTGCCATTCATCTGATTACTTTTCTGACGCCTACGTCATGCATAGAAATCATATATAAATAACTGACATACATATATGAATATTGTAATCCTATAATTCCCAAATGAGTTTATTTCCCTCTTCAAAAGAAAAAGGCATCATGACGTGACTGGTACAATACACAAATAACCTGCACATAGGAGAAAGATACTTATGGCGACGTTTCGCTCCGACTTGAACCATTAACTATTGGGCCGAAACGTCGTCAGTAGTTTCTCCCATCTGAGGATTATCTGTATATTGCATCCGTCTTCACTGTGTTGTGTATCTGATGTGTGTGTGGGGAGGGAGGGGGGAGTAAAAGTGTTGTAGTACAGAACAGAGAGAACAAAAACTGCCAAGATATGTTAGGAAATCATTCAGGCAAAAA